TTAGGTTTACATATTCTCTCCCTTAAAAGTTTGCTTTTTCACTTCACCAGTATTCCCTCAGCCAGGGCCAGGCCATGATCTGGGCCCTGGCTGCATGCTAAAGTGGAGCCTGGAAGAGTGCCATGGGGGTAGGGTTCAGGGAAGGCTTCCTGGGAGAGGTGACACCTGGGAGAGCCAGGCTGAGAGGGAGTTGTCAGGTGACATTGCCCCTCTTTCCCCTTCTTGTACCTTCCTTGCTGTTTCTCCTGCATTTTCCACCCTCTACTGTTACCTGTCATGGATGTTTCTGGGCTTCAAGCTCAAGAGATAGAGCTGGGAGGGCCCTTGGAAATTTAGCCTGACACTTGCCATCTAACAGATGGGGACAGTGAGGCCCCAAGGGGGATTGATTGGTTTGTGAATGTTAAACCATACTAGCATCTCTAAAATAAATCCCACTTTGTCATGGTGTATGATCATTTTATTGTATTGTTGAATTTTGTTTGATAGTATTCTGTTGAGGATTTTTGCATCTATGCTCATGAGGGATATAGGCCTAAAATTTTCTTTTCTTGTGGCATCCTTGTCTGGTTTTGGTATTAGGGTAATATTGGCCTCATAAAATGAATTTGGAAGTAAGATGCCCTCTTCTAGTTTTTGGAAGAGTTTGAGAAGGATTTATATTCTTTAAATGTTTGGTAGAATTCACCAGTGAAGATATCTGGTTCTGAACTTTTGTTTGTTGGGAGGTTTATGATTACTAATTCAAGCTCCTTACTAGTAATTGGCCTTTCAGATTCTCTGTTTCTTCATGAGTCAGTATTGGTAGGTTGTATGTTTCTAGGAATTTATCCTTTTCTTTTAGGTTGTCCAATTTTTTTGCCTGTGATTGTTCATAGTAGTCTCTTATGATCTTTTGTATTTCTGTGGTACTATTTGTAACATCTGTTTCATTTCTGATTTTACTTTTTAAGTCATCTTTTTTTTTCTTGGTGCGTGTAGTTAAGGGTTTGTCAGTTTTGTTCATCTTTTTTTTAACAGCTCTTTGTTTCATTGATTTCTTTTCTAATATCTTTTTAGCCTCTATTTCCTAATTTATTATCTGATCCTTATTTCCTTTCTTTTACTAATTTTGAGCTTAGTTTTTCTCCTTTTTCTACTTCCTTGAGGTATAAAGTGAGGTTATTTACTTGAGATTTTTCTCGTTTCTTAGCATAGGCATTTATCACTATGAACTTGTCTTAGAACTGCTTTTTTTCTTATTATTGAGTTTTAGGAGTTTTCTGTATAATATTGGCAAATAGTTCTTCTCAGTTATATCTTTTACAAGTATTTTCTCTCAGTCTGAGACTTGTCTTCTCATTCTCTTGATGGCTGGCATATATTTTAATATTACTTTGTTTTTTATCACCTTACAATATTATTAATGGTTTAGTCAGCCATTATTCATTTAGATTAATCACCAACATATATACCACTTTTTTTGTTCTTATTTCCGCCCTTGTTTCTCAGAATGTTCACCTTGGGATCACTATCTTTCTGTTTCAGGTACATCATTTAGAATTTCCTTAAGAGAGTGTCTACTGGTGGCAAAGTCAGTTTTTTTGTTTCTTTAAAATTGTCTTTAGTTTGCCATCATGGTGGAAATGTGTATAGAAAAGAATTGGCATTATCAATCATAAAGGATAAGTGATTCAATAATTGATTTTGGGGCAATGGCTTTTAATTTGAAGAAAATTTAATCCCTACTTCAAACTATACACAAAATAAAATCCCCAGAGATTAAATATCTAAATTTGAAAAAAAACCCAAGTCTTCAAAATTGTCAGAAGAGAGTGTAGGAAATATCTTTATGTTTTTTTCTTGGGGAAAAATGCAAATTATAAAAGATTCTAAAATTTCACTTTATGAGAATTATAAAGGTTTCTACAATTAAACAACTTACAAACAAGTGACATATTAAAAGAAAATATAACATATAAAACAAAGCATTAGTATCTTTAATATATAACAATTTCAAATGGAGAAAAGTCTAATAGGTATAATAGCAAAAAGAATCAAGGGTATAAACCAATAATAAATAGAAATAAATGTGTCATTAAACCTATTTGTATTCAGTTGTATAAAGAAAACTTTATTTTACATAATTGACTTCATCTTCCTTATGAGCCCCCACCTCATTGGTACAGGGGGCATTTGGGGTTGGGGAATGGGGAGCATGTACACTATAAACTTTCCAGATAAGTGAATCTCAGACATTTTCGGTTCTAATTCTCCTTTAAATACCACAGGCAGCTTTTTGTAAATGTTACCTGTTCGGATTCCTTCCTTCTTCCCTTGCTTCTCTTCAAGATGGATCCTTTTTCTTGGGCTTCTCCTCAATTAATGATAAGGATTTTTACTCAAAGAAGCCTGAAGTCATGACACATGTGAATCGTGAATGCTTAAATTCTCTAGTCTTTCCTCTTTCCATTCTTGCCCAGTTAGAACTTCTCAGTTCTCTCTGATGATGACTTATGTTAAAAATCTATGTTCCAAACTTGGCTGTTGAGATTTAAAGATTGCTTAAGAAATTAAGTTGTAATTTTTCTTCCTGGAGAAAATTTGATTCTCATGATACGTGCCTACTAATGAATGAAAAAGAGTCAGCTTTGAAACTCCAGCCTGAAAGCTAACTGCTTTAATCTAGGCAGTACCTGTCCTCCACCCCTGAAAAGGTTAAAACTACTAGATTTGGTGGGTAATAAATTGAAAGACAGTAAGATTTGCAAAGTATGAACATATATCTGAAACTACTTTAAAAATATTATTCTCATTACACATGAAAAATTGCATTATCTTACCAGTAATTAGGAAATTACAACTTTAAAAAATAAGATACTATCTATGGCCATACCACCCTGAACACGCCCAATCTCATCTAAAAATAAGATACCATTGGCAAACAACTTCAAGTTTGGTGAGATGGTGTGGGGAAAGACTGCTAGAGGCTAAACTGTTGCAACCACTCTAGAGAACTATTTGGTAATATCTAATAAAAGTGTAAATTTACATATCCTACCACCCATCAGTACAACTTCTAGGTGTATTTTGCAGAAGAACTCCTCCTCAGGTGTATACAATGACAAGTGTGAGGATGTCTACTATAGTATTGTTTGTAATACTAAAAACTGTGAAGACAAATATCTATTAATAAATTAGTGAATAAAATATGGTATATTCATATAATGGAAGCTGAAATCTTTAGGAGAAATGAATCATATGTATATTTATAAGTGATGATTTCAAAAATAAAGTTGAGGAAAAAAGTAAACTGAAGAATATGATGCCAGTTATGTAAAATTGATTGTCAACACAGCAACATAAATATTGATTATTTATATCTATAATTTGTACATGTAGCATGATACCCACCAAATTCATGATATGATGAGAATCTTCTGGCAATGGTGGGGAGGGGACAGGAAATGGGGATCAAAGGATATGATTACATTATCTGTAAAAATTCTTTATAGTGAAACAACATGATGAAAATAGTGTTAAGAAATAATGCCTGGAAATTCTGGGTGGTGGGCTTATAAGCATGTAAAAATGTTCAATAATAAATCAGATCAAATATCCAAATGTGAATCTGAGTGTGTTGTAGTGAGTATGAGTTCTTATTACTATGAGGGGGAACCCAGGCAAAGCCCAGACTGCCATGATTAAGAATACCCATTTGATTGTCAAAGTGCAGGAGAACATGGCATTGCATAAACTGCTTCTGTAACAAACCAGTATCATAGCTTCCTCCTTTCATTAACTATTGTTTTTACTAGGTTTATATTCTAAGTTTAGAAATATCGCCAGAAGTCCAAGGCATCACATCTGTCACATGACAATGTCACATGTGTGACATTGATTCATTTATTTATTCAATAAGCATTTTTCTTGATTGACCAGGTTCAGGGAAAGGGTGTTAGAAAGGCAAAAAGAAATGGAAAAAGAAAACTGGTGATAAGACTGTACCCAAATATTCAAGGCTTATATGAAGAATATTATAATTAATTCATTTCTAGTCAAAATGAAAGACTAGAATAAATGGAGATGAATGTCAAGACATAACCAATATCACAGAGATGTGGTGGGCAGAGTGATGCATTGCCCAGATTCTTCTTCATTGAGAGTTGTTCCCGTAACTGCTAGGAGTGCTATGGACAGAAAACCTTCAACTGTCACCCCCTTTAGAGATTGTCTCAGCTGAGAAAGCCTGCCTTGACCAGGACCAAGGCCCCTCCCTGGTCTTTCACACTGATGAATGAGGGAATTGGGCTATTTCAGCCTAACCTGGGACAACTCTGACCAGCCATTCTAACCCCAGAGCTCCCAGTGAGGTTGGCTGAGGCTGTCACTGAACCTGTAGTACCTCAGTTTCTCCCTCTGACCACTGCTGTTTTTTTTGCTTCTCTTTCACAAGGCTCTTCCTAATAAATATTGCATATGCTAAAAATATTGCTGATCAAAAAAATTGCTGTTCAGAAGCTCCTCAAAGAACATTAGGGAAATATACAGGCAAATTCATAACTACAAAAAAGAAGAAAAAATAACCTTGGAATGGAGAGGAAGAAGAAATGCATGGGGGAGGTGATGGGAAAAATATAAATTAGGAGAAAAATTGAGGTGAGTCTGAGGCAACAGTGAGTCTGAGTCTGAGGGGTGAAACAAGAATGGAGTTGGCTGAAGGTGACAGATGTGGAAAAAACAGCTGCTTACCAGCACAGGTGAGGGACCTAAAAATCCAAGGTTGGCTGTATGTGATCTATGCTCTTTGCTAAAGGTCCTTACTAGAGTCTGTTTTTTGCTGCTACGGATTAAGGCATTTTACTTAAAAAACAAAACAAAACTAACAAAGCCAACAAAAACCATAGCTGCTCACTGTCTATGAATGAAGATGCTCCATCCCTGAGTGGTGGTAAATGCTTACAAGGAGTCTTGGTAGATCACTAGCCCCGGGGCCGGGTGGCAAGGGATGGTGGGGCAGTTCATTCCTGAAACAGGCGTCTCCGGGCCTTGCGCGCGGGACCCGGAGGGCGCTGGGGTCGCACGTGCGGACCTGGACTCGGAGAGGGAGGTAGAGGTTGGAGCGGTGAGCTGGGAAAGGGCTCCAGAAGATGCAAGTCCAGGTTGACGTAGGGACCAGGCGAGCGTCTCAATGGACTAGGGGTGGCGGCCTGAGGCGAGGGCTCGCTAATGGGGCTGTGCGTATAGGGGCGGAACCCAGCGACGGAGCCTGCCGCTGCGTCCACCCAAGGACAAGTCAGGAACCCCGGGTCCGCGTCCTCGCTATAGGCCGCTTTTGGGGCGGCGATCTCTGGGACACATGCGCAGAAGAATCTCCGATGGACTGCGAAGTCCTCTCCGGGAGCGCCCTGGAGAGCGCGGAGTTCCAACAGGGCCTGGGGGACCAGCATGAGGGTGTGCCCCCGGAGAGACACTTGCAGGACCGACGTTGGCTCGGGCTCCAGCACCAGGTCGACGTCGTCCAGGGGCAGCTGCACAGCACAGCCTGGAGCCAGGACCACCACGGACGTGAGCGTGTCCGCCGCCGGAGGCCCCGCCGGATCCCCTGCGGGATCTTGCAGGCTGGGCGCAGTCCTGGAGTCGGGGCCCGCGGGCTCCTCGATTCGGCGGCGCTTGGCGGAGCCAGGACCTTCGGACTGCGGTCCCCACCAGGGCGCAGGATAGGGGCTGGGGCTGAGGACCCGGCTGGCCATCACCTCCAAGGTGCTGCGGGCGGCGCGCTCTGGGCCGGGCGGAGGGCGAGTGTCACTCAGTGACAGGTCTGGATGACAGGTGAGGCGGGCCGGGGGCGGGTGGGGCGCAGGACCGCGGGTCGCGGGGCGAGTCCTTGGGGCTTGGGGGGGTCATCTACTGGGAAGCCCGCAGTTTCAGTTTCTAGGAGAGCCTTGAGGGGCCAGGGCTTGGCCTCGAGCTTTAGAATTTTCCGCTCTTCTCGCGGACCCGAAAGCGCGGGGTGATTAACAACGTGAGCTGTCAGGTGACTTGCGTCTCACTCTAAGCCCCGCCTCCTGCCAAAAGGAGCTTCAGGTTTGGTGCCTTGGTGGGGTATGTTTTCTAGGAAGTGTAGGGGAATGCGCCTTGGGTGCTCGTTTGGGGCCCCGTGCCCTTTATTTGTGAGGGGGAAAAATAGCCAAAACACAATCTCATAAATTGCTTGCTTACTTTTAGAGGTAGCGTATGTCTAATGTCTTCTAAGATTTTTCTTGGACGCTATGAAAAGCCTTTACTCCATCTCCCATCACTCCTAATGCAAATGGTTCTTGAAATTCTTTCCATTCAGGAGAGAAAGTAGAAATGCAATTTTTTTTTAAAAAAATAGAAACGCTTTTAAAATATTCAAGTTAAATTACATTTTTTTTTGTGAGATGTCTGGTGGTGGTAATTAATAACAGTAGCCAAATTTATCATAAGATTAACTTTTTGTATTCAAACTTGCTACCTGACTTGTATTACATTGAGTGCTTAAAAATTAATTTATTCAGTCCTCATTGGTGAAGATCAGAGGAGAGAAGGGGATTTTACAAAATTAAATACTTGGTATGTGTTGCATTTGGGAATTAAGTAGTACTGACATGTTTAACTTTAAAACAGAGATCTTCGACTTTTTACCTATATGCTTAGTACAGAAAATCCAGGTGTGGCATCGTTGGGTTGTAGTGTGTGGCACCCCAACAATAATAGATAAGGCCAAACTGCTTTCTTAAGTATTTATCCTAATTTATATTTCTGTATCTGTGGGTAAGTTTCCCTTTGTACCACATGCTTGACAACACTTAGTATGGTTAGATTTCTAAGTATTTTTCAATCTGATGGTGTAAAATGGATTTTCTTTATGTATTTGTTGTATTTCTCACGAGGTTTTCATATATGTATGGCCATTCATATAACATCTGTGTGATGTGCCTTTTCATTGCAGTTGTCTTTTCTTTCTGTATATAAAAATTATTCTCTTTGAATTTGGTGTTTGGTGGGCTTACAAACACCAAGTTCATATAATATATGAATATATATTTTATATAAAATATATTTTAAAATATATATTATATAGATATTAAAAATATATTTTTAAATGTATCAACCTTGGAAGTTGTGCTTCCTGAATGAAGAAGAAAGTTGTGTTTCCGGAACATACTATAATATGTTCCAGAACTTTGTATGCTCTTGGAAATATGCTCCCTTTACCCTTCAGTGCTGGAAGTCTTGCCACCTCTGTCTGCCATAGCATCATGGAGACTAATCTCCTCATGCCCTTTTTCTTGCTCATGGTAGGAATCTATTCATCCCTCAGATTTCAGATTCAAATCTTCAGATACTCAGTACATGGTATTTTCTCACTACCTCCTATCTTTATCTTCTACATCTTTTCATTCTGCCCTCTGAGGCTCATAGCCAATCACAAAACTCAAAAATCTTCACCTTCCCTTTAACTTTATGTTAAAATCGAAACCTGCTTCTTCTGAGTACACTGTTTTCTCTGAAGGCTTCTCAAGTGAAGGCTGTTTTCTCTCCCATACCCTTACTGCTAATTGCTGGAGGTATGATGTATGATTAGTAGGATTTTTCTTGCTCCTTATTGATGCTTTCCAACCATTTCTCTATTCTTCCTGAATTTCATGTCATCAGAGTATAGCCACCCTCTACTCTGTCTTAATGTAGTGCTTTACCCTCTTTCCAACTCCAGGGCTCATCTCCCACACTCCCTAAGTATGTTTACTCTTGGGTTACTGTTACTCTCTTCCATAATGGTGCCATCCTAATTCTTGTTGATTTCAAAATACACTTAGGTCTTTTGAACACTTAGGTGGTTATTCCAAAACACTGGTGTATCTCCATCCTGTACTACTCCCATGCAATCCGGACTTATATATCTTCAAGGTAAATTTAAGACTTGATATGTTTAAGATAAATTTAAGTCCCATTTCCTTTTGTATTATGAATTTTTTCTTTTGCTTATTAGATTACCTATTGGAGGAATCCACTTTTCTCTCTGGATTTGTGACATGTCATCATTTTTGGCATTGGAGGATTTCTGATACATTTACTGAGATATGCCTTTAAAAATGTTAAAATAATTTTTATACATTAGTTTTAAGAGTGTTGTTCTTGAGGATATTTGGACTATTTGGTTCAGATATTGTTGAAAATCAATGTCCTCAGTTATTTCTAGTATAGATAATGAGGCTTTTGCAGTTGAAGACATCTTTTCAAACAGGGTTATCTTCTCTCTTCAGAATAATTAGATACTTTGGCTGGGATTTGGGACTGATTAATTGATATGTTATGGGGGAAGGAGGAAGGATGGCTGAGTTGTGGTGGGAATTGTGGACAAGATGGTAGTACAGGGGGATTCCTTCTACTGGAAGCAGAGATAGAAAATATTAATTCATATTAAACATAGACATTTACTTCAAAAAGCAAGACACATACCTCCAGGACCAAGAAATAGGATAGAAAATCCAGTCTCCGAACAGACAGCTGATGTTTGGTGTATTTGTGGCATTGAGACTTAATGGGATTTCTGCTCCTTTGAGAGGGCTGAAAATTGGCCTACTGCCAGTCATCAGAGTTTGAAGAGGCACTGAGTGCTATTTTATGGCAGTGCCTGTGGTTGATCAAGGAAAGCCAAGTTGAAACTAAAAACGGCCACTGTGTGATTGCTTGGGGGATTAGACCTATGACTTTCCACAGAGACAAGTTAAAAGAGTCCCAAAAGCCTTGGTGCTGAGTTGTTGTCCACTAAGAAGTGGAAACTAAAAATTATAACCGTGGAATACAGAAGATGAATTCCCACTCAAAATGTAACCACTAATGAAAATTGAGGCAACAAACCACATGAGTCAATCCAATGTGATTAAAATTAAATAATAGATTTTACCTGTGAGGAAATTGAATTAACTGAACTATTAATTAATGTTAAAAAATTTCAAAACATAAAGGATGGAATACCTTCCATGAAACAAAAACAGGAGTTTATAATACTAACTGGAGAGGTTTGAAACAAGATGAAGGAAGTAAAAATCTTGAAAAGAAAAAAATATATAATCTTCAATTGAAAACTTTTAATAGAAATATACAAGAATACTGGAGACAGTTAATAAAGTTAGTTAATTGGGTTAAAGAATAAAGAAAGCTGGAATTAAGGCATATACACATGATGCCAAGATGTTAAGAGCAATGGGAGATTGAATACTACCTTATATATACTATACCTGATAGGGTTTCCAGAGATGGAGGTGTGTGGAGTATTCCAAAATATAGAGCCTAAGATTTTGTGGGATTTCAGCCAAGAAATAATTTCCCATAATGATAGTTAATCAAATTCTACCCAGCTGAATAAAAATAGAATTTACCCAGAGACATTATAATAAAACTATAGGACCTCAAAGGAAAAGAAACATTTTAAAATATGCTAAAATGAACAGCCAAATTAAATTTAGAAGGAATAATATTGATTAGTAGACTTTTTGTTTTCAAAAGCAACAAAATAGCATAGCAATGGACAAACATATTTAGTTAAACATCATGTTATAATTAATGAATAAGCAATAAAACATTTTCATACATGTAAGACTAAGAGAATTTACCACACAAAAACATGTTCAGCTTACAAAACCAAGACCGTTTACCATGCATTGGACAGGGTAGAAAGAATTATTAAAGAATATACTTCAGCAAGAAGAAAATTGTGGCTAGACTTCAAGAGCAGAATGTAAGAGTAAAAAGGTAGAGGAGAATTGGTAAAGCATGTTGGTAAATCTAAATAGTATTGATATTAAAAAAATAAAATGTTGACTTCAGTTTGACCAATAGTATTTTATTTTTTATAAAAATGTGAAGTGAATATGATTTTTAAAAGTTAGAAGTTTGGTTTACATAGGAAAAAGCTTGGGGTAGAATTTAAAATGTGTGAAATAATATGGAATAGCAGAAATGCAAACATTTTACATCACTCTCTAGGTTAAAATCACCAGATGAACAGATTTTTAAAAGGAAACATATATTCCAAATACATGCTTGAAACATCTGATAAAATCCAACAGCTATTCATAATGAAAAGTGAACAGCTGGAAGAGAACTTCAGCAGGTTAAGAGGTAACTATGAACAAACATCACGCTTTATGTCAAGTAACCATTATACTATTTTGCAGTTTTCCAGAATAGCAGCTGGACGCATCAAGAAAGAGAAAAGCCATGACCAAGAATAAATTAATGGGAAAACGTACCAAGAAAATAAAAACATGAGAAATCCAGTGATTTCTTGGTTTGGGAGAAATAGGAGTAACAATATGGGGATGGAGTAGAGTTTGAGGGAAAATAACCGATTAAAACGAAGGGGAATGGAGGTGCCTGGGAATGATCTTGTAAAAAAGCCCAGACGTATGAAAACACATTGTCTGGTATTCCTGGGCAGAGTTTTCTATTTCAAAGGTGAAGTCTAGAATCTGCTTTCTCTTCCTCACGTCTTCATTTGCGTAGTATAGCCGGTCTGCGGGGAGGGAACTGTTTGCGACTGAAGTGCTCAGTTTCCAGGTTGTAGGATAAACCACGTTGGAAATCCCATGCGGACTCGAAGTGGGTAGCTAGAATTGTGTGTGGGGGTGGGGTGGGGTGGGGTGAGGAGAGAAGGTAGTTCATTCCTGAAACAAGCATCTCTGGGCCTTGCGTGCTGGACCGGGAGGGCGCTGGGGGTCGC